ACATCGCCGATGCGCATCGCAGATGCATCGGCGATTTGGCGCCATCTGGAGCCTGGTGTTCTCCACCTGGGCATCGGCGATGCGTCGCCGTCGCCCGACCCCAGATACTTTGGCCCCACTGGGGAGTCCTCCGTTGTCAATTCTAGCTCGCAGTTCTCCCCTTCCCTTCCATGTAGGGGCTACCTCGGGCTACATACGTGTGCCAAGTTTTGCTCGGCTAGCATGGCGTAATTTTCTGGCCTCTGCTCTCTGTCCAGCCTCGCGTCCGGCACTTTTGATTAGAGAGGCTTTACGGCCGGTACTGCCGACCCTGAAGGAGGATCAGGAGGCCTTGGGAAGGCCGAGAGGTAGCCGAGGGCCGAGCGAGGAGCGCATCAAGGCAGGCCGACAATTATCCCAGAACGGCTTGAAGAGCACCTCGAGGCTGGAGGAAAGACAGAACTCCGTGCCACCTCTATCTATTGGCTTTCGGCCCAGGTTCGTTGATCAGAGGCCTCTTGAATAGACATACGGATAGTTTGGTGAACCTCTCGGATGCCTCGTGGAGAGCTCTCGGGGGCCTCTTGGGAGCCTCGCTTGGTAGCCTCTTGGGGGCCTCTGTAGGGCCTGCTGGCGGTCTCGGGGGGCATCTTGGGGCGGACGGCTCGAAACATACGTTCGTGTGCGCCCTCGTTGGACCCTTCTTGGGACTCTCGTGGGTCTGGAGCGTTGGAAATCCCACAGGGCAAGAACGCTAAGATCCTTCAAACACCTTCGGAATAATAGCAATGATGATTGCCTCTTGGGGCCCTCCTAGGTGTCCTCTTGGGGCCTTCTTCGGCCGTGTTGGAGGCCTTTTAGTTAGGGCGTCTAGGAGGGGTGGCGACGACTACGAGGGAAGAGGCACCGACCTCAACACCCCCCACAACCGCTTGCGCGGGAGTGGGGGGTCCAGTTCAGAGAAGAAAAGGGAGTCAGCAGGCCAGTGCCTGCCATCTGGCGAGGGGCCCCGCCTAAGCGACGTGTCACATCATGTCGTACTCATTCCACCGCAGGCCGAAGACGAAGAAGCATGCGGCCTCGGGGGGAGGCGACATGCGACGACCGACGGCCCGAAACCAAACTCACACAATTGACCGTGGCCCTGCCGAGGGCCCAGCACGTTGGCCCCCAGGTTCGGGGCTAACACACGTCGCTGCGCTCTCTGGCGCAGCAGGGGCAGGGGGCACGATCCTCAGGCCCGTTCTCGGGTGGACCCCCAATTCAAGTCGCCCGATAGCCATTCGCTGGCTGGCCTGCGTGGACGGCACAACTGAGGGGCTCGCACAGTCAGAGGTGAGTTTGCGCATGCTGCCGAGCGAGCTGTACGCTCCGCGGCGGCGGCAACAGAGCACACTGCCACACGAAAAAGCATCATGGCCCAACCAGGCAAACGGAAGTGGCTCGGAGCTCTTCGCGGCAGTGCCGTGATCCACACACTTCACCGCCTCGGAGCAAGCAACCTGAAAAGAAACAGCATCAGGCCCGCGGAACCAAACATCGCACACGTGCTGCTGGATCGAAGTGGGCTCGCAAGTTCTGCTATCCATTATGACAGAGGCACACGTCGCGAGGTGGTGTTCTTAGCATGCCTGCCGCAACGACGACAGTGCCACTCGCCAAGCTGTGAGGAGTGCCAAATCTCACGGGTGGTGACGGTGAGGCGAGGGGGAGCAGGGGCCGTCATCAACCGAAGGGGGACGTTTGGATCCATCACCGTCCGCCTAGAACGCGCAAGAAGCTGCTTGGCCGCCCATCCAAGGTAACTACTGTGGTACCGAAGCTCGCCCTAAACGGCTTTAGCGAAACCCTCGGACACCGAACGGGACCCAGCGCCAAGCTTGGCAAAAGAGTCGCCCCAGAGGTTCCCAGCCCATGTTTTAACACAACGACCCCGCTCCGAGACGTCGTCCAAACTCAAGTGGGCTGGGCACCAGGAAACCTGCGATGGCTCATGAACATTGTGTTGGAAGATGGACCTCCAGATGGCGGCATGCTTGGCCGTGCCAAGCGCCTGCTCAGGATCCTAAGTTTTTCTCTGCTCACCACAGCCTGCAACTCCGGAATCAGCCTACGGTGACGGGCGTGCCCGTGCAAGGCTTGACGGAAGGCCCAGCGCTATGTTCTCTGTATGGTCTGCCTGGGTCTTGGGAGGGCTCCACACTTGGCCCTAAGAGGGAGCAGGTCGTCGTTAAGCTGAACAATTTCCACCCAGCCTTGGCGACCTCAGGAATGGAGCTCTGAAGGCAATTGCCGTCAAGAAAATACTCAGGATCCCAGGCGCCACAGGCGTCTCCAAACGTCAGAATTTCAGGCAACAAATGGAGCCATGCGGAAAAGGAAGGATGAGGACGGGGCCTCCTTGAGACTCGGGAAGGGGGGTGGGGGCACACACACACACACACACACACACACTCCGACACACACACACACACACACACACACACACACGGACCCCCCCCCTGTAGGGGAAGGGATAAAGGGACGGGGCGCCCCATGTGTGTACGGGATCTCGCGATCTGAGTTTGTGGTGAGAGGAAGTTGCTTAGGCGTGAGCGTGGTCAGATTTGGGGGTTCGCTCGGAAAAAGCCAGACATGCTCGACTCTGCAGGTGTCTCGCTCGGCAGGCCTTCCACACACGCCGACAGGGTCGGCGGATTTTGTTCGTGTGGGCACCTGGACCTCGCGATCCCTTCCCCAGGACAGGCTTCGTCCCAATGTAGTTGTTCCCTACGTGCTTCGTGGGTTTCTGGTTTTCTTCCCTGCCGCGTCGCACCCGCGTCTCCCGCACACACCTCCCTCTCCCGCAAAGCGTGGCAGACGTGACATACATGCATGCATGCATGCATGCATGCATGCATGCATGCATGCATGCATGCATACATACATACATACATACAAATACAGAGGCACACCGACACAGACACATACACACATACACACAGACACACACAGGCACAACCACACACATACACTCCCTCACCCACGCGCAACACCTGCACGGCACGTACATGAGACACGCGTAGCACATTTGATAACACAGCGCAGCGCAGCGCAGCACAGCACAGCGCTGCTTAGCACAGCTCAGCTCGGCACAGCACAGCTCAGCACAGCAGAGCAGAGTGCACGACGGTCGTCCAGGGCGTAGCAGGCGTGGCACTTTCTCGACACCATAGGGGGTGCGCAGGGGGTGGTCCCTGAGCGCGGCTGCTATCCGAGACGGTCGTCCAGGGCATAGCAGGCGTGGCATTTTCTTGACACCATATGGATTGCGCAGGGGGGGTTCCCTGAGCGCGGCCGCTATGCACGACGGCCGTCCAGGGCATAGTTACGCACGACTATCGTCAAGGGCAAAGCAGACGTGGCATTTTCGTGCGCAGGGGGTGGTCCTTCACCGCGGCCGCGATGCACGACGGTCGTCCAGGGCATAGCAGGCGTGGTACTTTCTCGACACCATAGAGGGTGCGCAGGGGGTGGTCCCTCACCGCGGCCGCTATGCACGACGGTCGTCCAGGGCGTAGCAGGCGCGGCACTTTCTCGACCCCATGGGGGGTGCGCAGGGGGTGGTCCCTGAGTTCGTCCAGGGCGTAGCAGGTGTGGCACTTGCTCGACACCATAGGGGGTGCGCAGGGGGTGGTCCTTGAGCGCGGCCGCTATCCGAGACGGTCGTCCAGGGCATAGCAGGCGTGGCAGTTTCTCGACACCATAGGGGGTGCGCAGAGGGGGGTCCCTCACCGCGGCCGCTATGCACGACGGTCGTCCAGGGCATAGCAGGCGTGGCATTTTCTCGAAACCACAGGGTGTGCGCAGGGGGTGGTCCCTCACCGCGGCCGCTGTGCACGACGGTCGTTCAGGGCGTAGCAGGCGTGGCCCTGAGGTCGTCCAGGGCGTAGCAGGCGTGGCACTCTCTCGACACCATAGGGGTTGCGCAGGGGGGGGTCCCTGAGCGCGGCCGCTATCCGAGACGGTCGTCCAGAGCATAGCAGGCGTGGCAGTTTCTCGACACCATGGGGGGGTGCGCAGGGGGTGGTCCCTCACAGCGGCCGCTATGCAAGACGGTCGTCCAGGGCATAGCAGGCGTGGCAGTTTCTCGACACCATAGGGGGTGCGCAGGGGGTGGTCCCTCACCGCGGCCGCTATGCAAGACGGTCGTCCAGGGCATAGCAGGCGTGGCAGTTTCTCGACACCATAGGGGGTGCGCAGGGGGTGGTCCCTCACCGCGGCCGTCATGCACGACGGTCGTCCAGGGCATGGCAGGCGTGGCAGTTTCTCGACACCATGGGTGGGTGCGCAGGGGGTGGTCCCTCACAGCGGCCGCTATGCACGACGGTCGTCCAGGGCATAGCAGGCGTGGCAGTTTTTCGACACCACAGGGTGTGCGCAGGGGGTGGTCCCTCACCGCGGCCGCAATGCACGACGGTGGTCCAGGGCATAGCAGGCGTGACAGTTTCTCGACACCGTAGGGGGTGCGCAGGGGGTGGTCCCTCACCGCGGCCGCTATGCACGACGGTCGTCCACGGCATAGCAGGCGTGGCATTTTCTCGACACCACAGGGTGTGCGCAGGGAACGGCCACCACCATCATCATTATCACATGCTTCAATTTAGCTATCATCACTCCAGCCATAATATAAGTATGTGGGGTTCCTCGGTAACGTAATATCATGTTCCCGAGGCTCGAAACCAGCCTCACGAGGCCCCAAACGGCGACACACCTCGTTTGCGCCAGATGTATGGGGCCTTCTCCCGCCTCCCTCATCGCTCGTCTGCCGCACACATCATTCGACATCCGACATGATCTTGTCAACCCGCGGCCCCAGAGATCCCGACTTCTGTCCCGAGTCCATTTTTATGGCCGCGGAGCCCGAAAACGGCCCCTGGAGGCCGAACAAAACAGAGGGCTCACAATTGAAACAAAACCAAGTCGTCGGAGGTATGGGCTTCCCCCCCGCCCCCCCCACGCTCTCCCCGGCGCGGTCCGCGGAGGAGCCTGCGAACATGCAGCGCTTGTTGCCGGCAGAGCGCCCCCCACGCCCCGCGCCCGCGGACCGCCGCGGCGGGCTTCTTCCTCGGCAGCGACGTAGAGGTCTTCGATCTTCACGACGCCTCAGCAGATGCGGCTGGTCCATCGTGCAGGTAGACAGGGTTGGTGTCTTGACTGGTGCAGCCTACGGCACCGTTCCCCCCCACCTTGCACCAGAGCAGGTTGCCAGGGACGGGGAGGATTGTGTTTTTTTCATATTCTCTCCCAGGTAGCAGATTGGGATGCAGACGACCCACTTATCGTCTTTCGCGATTGTAAACGGTCTCATCTCTTGTGCCTCGGACCCTGGAGTAGGTTTAGACTCCTCTCGCTTCGCGGGGTGCACGTCCGGAGCACGTGCAGTCCAGACGTTGTGGGGCCTGGTGGAAGCCTCTTTGGGGCCTCTTGGGGGCCTCTTGTGGGCTTCTTGGGGCCTCTTGGGGGCATCTTTGGAGCCTGTTGGGGCCTCTTGGGGGCGTCTTGGGCAGTCTTGGGGTGCTCTTGCGCCGTTTGGCTCCTTCGGAGGCCATCCTGTGAGCCTCTCGTGGGGCCTCTTGGGCAGTCTTGGGGGCCTCTTGGACCGTCCTGGGGGCCTCTTTGGGCCGTCTTGAAGACCTCTTGGGCCGTCTGGGGGTCCTCTTCGGGGCCTTTGGGGCCGTCCTGGGACTATTTTGGAGGCTGCATGGGCCGTCATGGGCCTCTAAGGGTAGAAACAAGAGAGAACGCAAAAGTCTTTCAAAAACCAAAGGGAAATATGATTTTGGCATCTGGAGTCGCTCGTGGGGGTCCTCTTGGGGCCCTCTGTTGTCTTCTTGGGTTTTTTGTCAACCCTCTTGGGGCCATCTTGGACCATCTTAGAGTCGTCTTGGCCCGTCTTGAGGCCATCTTGAGCCGTCTTGACACACTCATGGGCCTCCCCCCCAAGCGGCCCAAATTGTTGATTTCCCATCGGTTTTCATCCGGGGGGCGGGTCTCCTTGGGGCCTCTTGGGGTCGTTTTGGGGGCATCTTGGGGCCTCTGGGGACCTTCCTGGGGCCTTCTCGGGGCGGAAAGGTAGAGTTCTCGGTTCGTGGACTCCTTCTCGGGCCTCTCTTGGGACCGTCTTAGGGCCTTTTTGGACCGTCTGGGGCACCTGGGGCCGTCGTGGGGCGATCTTGGGAACCTCTTGGTCCGTCTCGGAGCGTCGGAAAGCCGAAAAGGCGAGAAGGCCAAAAGCCTTCCAAAACAGCAGGAAAATCATTGATGTTTGCTTCGTGGGGCCCTCTTGGAAGGCCTCTTGGAGACCTCTTTAGCCGTCTTGGGAGCTTCTTTTGCTGGCATGGGGCCATCGTGGGACAGATTGGGCCATCTTTGGCAGTCTTGGGCCATATTGGGCCGTCTTGGCTGGGGTGGCCTGGAGCAGCCTGGATTTGAGGTTCATCCGCCCCGTTGGCTGTTTGGTGACGCGGCGGGGCCCCTTAGACAGTAAACACGAGGCAGGCAACAGGACTAGAGAGACAACAGGTCAAGCAACAAATGACAACACATAACATATGACAGCAGGCAGCACACACCTTCGCAGCCTTCGGTTTCGCATTCAGCAAAGTAACCAGTTGGTGGACACTACTGTTTCAACGTGAACTCTTTGCGTCGACGCTCGCCGGACAACCGTGTCACATAGCCGGCAGTGTGTTTATTGTCCTCAGTTGGCGTGTGATGTATGGGGAAAGGCAACCACAAGTTTCCCCAACCAGCCTGCGGTATTGGGTCCTCGTTTTGAAGAGACGGTCCCCGCGTCTCCTCCTTCCTTCCTTCCTCCTCCCTCCTCCCCCCTCCTCCCTCCTCCCTGCGTTTCACCCACCCAGCACAGCGTTTCGTAGCCCCAGAGGGAACCGCCCGCATGCGTCACCCACACCGTCATTTCGTCACACCCCTCACACGTTTCGTGACCCCATATGGAGATCCACCGAAGGCGTTGGTGCCACCGCCCGCATGCGTCACCCACGTCCATTCTGGCACACCCCGCATGCGTGTCGTGAAACCAAAGGGGGCTTCACCGAAGGCCCCACTGTCACCACCCGCATGCGTCACCTACACCCATTTCGTCACACCCGTCGCACGTTTCGTGGCCCCATCGGGAGCTCCACCGAAGGCCGCAGTGCCACCGCCCGCGTCACCCACACCGACACCCATGTCGTCACACTCCTCACACGTTTCGTGCCCCCATAGAGGGGGTTCCACCGAATGCCACATTGCCCCCGCCAGCATGCGTCACCCTTGCCGTTTGCAGAGCCCGACTTGTTCGCAGATGGAGCCTACATCGACGGTGGCACCAGGATCGCCTGTGCAGGATGTGCCGTTATTGCGTTGCCCAGCGGCGGCGATCACATCGACCCTGGGCCAAGGTCTGCCACGCTAGCGTTGGCCTCCCCTTTGGCAGGTGGTTTGCAGTCCATTGACGGCGGCGAGCTGTTGGCACTTCTTCTGCTTCTCAAGAACACCATTCCACCAGTGACAGCTCATTTTGACGCTGAGTTTTTGGCGAATGGGATCAACATTCTTTGACCCGTGGCCACCACCAGCAGCAAGGCAGCCTGGGCGGAGCTGTGGGTTCGCGCCTGGCACGCAGTGCAGGACTTTGGGGGGCTCGGTGCAGTCGGCCTCACAGTTGTCAAGGTCAAAGCGCACGGTTCTGTTCAGCACGCGCAAGAGGGCCAGGTCACGGCCAGAGCGCGCAGAGGCAACATCGAAGCTGATCGGTGTGCCAAGTTTATTGCTGCTCAAGTCGGCACTCCCGACGCCATTCGGCAGATCACCCAGTCGAGGCACACCATGCTCGACGCCGCTTTCTTCTGGGTTTCGATTGCTGGCGGCATGGCTGCCGATGGCAGAGATGGCATCTCGGACGAGAAGGTCACGAAGCAGGCCAACACTATTCAGTTGTATCTCGCGGATCACGAGGTCATCGAGGTCCCGAATGGGGGCATTTTGCGCTGCCTCAGGACCGCGTACAGCAGCAACATCGAAGCGCACTTCTGGGCCAAGCCCTGCGTGCCCAAGCCGTACGCCCTTTTGCACTCTGGCAGTACTTCGAAGAAACGACCTGTTCGAGCAGCCTTGGCGACGGCGGCCACGGCGGCGGCGGCCTTCGCCGCATTGGCGCAGGCCCAGCAGAAGGCGGCAGTTGCCGAGGCTGCAGGCGCCGGCAGCACCGAGCTGCCGAAGGCCAAGGCTCGCAAGACAGCCCAGCAGAAGATCGAATATCTGTTGTCGGCAGCGTCTGGAGCGAGCTCGAGCGGGTCTGTGCGCTCGACATCGGCTGCGAAAGTTGTTGCCAGTGCCAGTGAGGCTCCTGTAGGCCCCGCTGCAGACGCTCTCCCCTCGGGGTCCCTCGGGTCTCCTCCAAGCCCCGCCGCAGAAGCCCTGAGGGGAGCCCGCGGCGGCGAGTGTGCGCCCGCTGATTTGTCCTGTTTTCGCAATGCGGCCAGCAGTCCAGTTGCCTCGCGAGGTTGTGAGGTTTCGCCTCGCCGCTCGAGCTCGCCCGATCGGTCTTGGTCGGAGGCCAATCGATTGCCCCTCTGGCCCCAGCGCTACGTCTGGCACTGGGGCCCCAGGAGTGGCAAGCGGCGAGCATGTTCTCACGACCATCTTTGGATATCGCATTTGCACGCGCTGTCATTGCTATGCGAGAGTGATCGGAGGCAAGCATAGGGGCTTGTCCGCATAATGCAAGTCACCAGAGAACGCTCGTGGTTTGCAGCGTCGCCTCGAGAAGGTCGAAAGGATCAGGTTCGGGCTGCCGCCAGAGGCGGCGCAGCCGAAGGCGCAGGCTCGGTGATCTTTTGGGGGCTTGGCCTGGCGGCGGCGAGTCGGCCCTTTTGGCTTGCTCGCCACTTTGCCGCTCGGCCCCCCTAGGTTTACGCCTGACGCCAGCCGCGGCCGCCAGTGTTGCGGCTGCTTTAACCCGAGCTCGTGCTGCGCGAGCCTGGCCACAGCTTTTTTTATGTATTATTGTTTTCACATAGCACAGAAGAAGACAACAAAAAGGCCCCGGTGACACCGCCCGCATGCGTCACCCACGTTCATCCGGGCACATTCCGCACGCGTGTCGTGATTCCGTAGGGAGCTCCACCGAAGGCCCCAGTGCCACCGCCCACATGCGTCACCCGCACCCATTTTGTCACACCCGTCACACGTTTCGTGGCCCCAGAGGGAGCTCCACCGAAGGCCCCGGTGCCACCGCCCACATGCGTCACCCGCGCCCATTTTTTTACACCCGTCACACGTTTCGTGGCCCCGTAGGATATTCCACCGAGGGCCCCAGAGGGAACCGCCCGCATGCGTCACCCACACCCATGTCGGCACACTCCTCACACGTTTCGCGCCCCCCATACGAGGGTTCCATCGAAGCCGGCCACAGCGCCCCCCCCCCCTCCCCCCCGCATGCGTCACCCACACCCATGTCGGTACACACCCCTCACACGTTTCGTTCCCCCGTATGGAAATCCACCGGAGAACCCAGTGCCATCGCCCGCATGCGTCACCCACACCAATTTCGTCACATTTGCATACTTTTCGTGGCTTCGTAGGGGCTCCACCGAAAGCCTTGGCGCCACCGCCCGCATTCGTCACCCACGCCCGTTCTGGCACACTCCGCACGCGTGTCGCGGCCCAAAGGAAGGGGGCTTGACCGAGTCCCCAGTGCCACCGCCCGCATGCGTCACTGACACCCATTTCGCCACACTCCTCACACGATTCGTGGCCCCATAAGGAGCTCCACCGAATGATCCCGGTGCCACCGCCTGCATGCGTCACCCACGCATATTCCAGCACACCCGTCATGCTCTTCGTGGCCCCATAGTGAGTTCCACCAAAGGCGCCAGTGGTTGCGTTCGCATGCGCCCACCGCACCCCTGTCGGCACACCCCGCACGAACTTCGTGATCCCATGGGGGATCCCAGTGACAGCCCAAGCGGCTGCTCTCGCATGCGCCCACCGAACAATTTGTGGCACACCCCT